GGGGGGACCCGGACGGGAAGGAGGGGAGAGGGCAAGGGGGGGCAGCCACACACCCCACCCCCACGCCCCCTCCTCTGTAGGTCTCTCGGGGACCCAGAGGGTTCACACGTGCACACGCGGACACGGGTGGGACTGCGCGCAGAGGGCTCCGTAACAGGCCTGAAGGGGGCTCCGAGCACCTGCCACACCAGCTGCAGTTGTGTGTAGGTGGTAGCAGTAGTAGTGGTGGTGGTCATCATCATCCTCATCATCTATCATCATCATCATCATAAACAACCAAGAGGTGATGGTGATGATAATCTTAGAACTTTAATTGTTGGAAGCCGCCCAGAGACCTGCATCTCTAGGCATCCTCCACCCTCATCTTGGGGAAGTGACTTTTTTGGGGAGTGCAAGACCAAGGCTCTCCCAGCCATCATGGCCACTAGCTGGGGATGTGGGCAGCATGTAAGTTAAATAAATGAATAAATAAACTGTAGAGCTGGAAAGACCCTCTGGGTCATGGAGTCTAGTCCTTGGCAAAGGGGGGTGGGGATCGAACTCTCAACCTAAACCAGAGCTATCTGATATGTACATTATATACATTGTGTTTCTCTCTGTGTGTATTGAGGACATATGTGAGCATATATAGACTTACAAGAGCAACAAGCCAACGTATTTCAGCAAAACATGTTGGCTCCTGCCTTCTTCCCTTGTAAAAGACAACTTGTATGTGTGTATGTGTGTGTGTGTGTGTGTGTGTGTGTGTGTGTGGGTGGGTGGGTGGAGAGAGAGAGAAAGAGAGAGAGGAAGAGAGATGTAGATGAACGTAATACTAAACAGCACTTAAGATAATAATAATATTAAACAAATATTTAAGCAAAATGTTGGTCAAAGTCTGCAGACTGGTCAAAGTCTGCAGCTGAGGAAAGCGGAAGCCACAAAGTTTCATTTGAATATTTGTTTATAAATCATTCTTAGAAGTGTATATTATTGTTATAGATGGGTGACAAAAATATCATTTTATCCACACCAGCTATCTGTGTATATTATGTAGCTTTGTTATTTTATAGCAGCAGAAGCAGCATAATACTGTTGAGCGAATATCCTTAGCAGAGACAGGAAGATTAGAACGACTGGCGATAAACTCAATATCTGTCTCAGAACCTGCTGGCCATTAACTATTTACCTTTTTAAAATTAGTTTTATCATCTCCCTTATTACATGACACCTGTTATTACTGCATGGCTTTATTAAAACCAAAAAGATGGGGTGGGGAATTTAACCAGAGCACAGGTTGCTGTCCTCTGAAAATGCCCATGGCCACAGAGACTGGCGAAACGTCAGGAAGAACAACCTTCAGAACACGGCCAAAGAGCCCGAAAAACCCACAACAACCGGACTTAACAGTCCTCAAAATATTCTGTGTGTCAGTTCCCTCAGGTTTGCCCATTTTTGACCTTTTATCTGGCTTTTCCCAGCTCAGATTCCTTTGCTTGTTTTTCCAGATTCCTCAGCTCGGTGGAATTATTGTCCTCTTTTAAAATCTGGGTTCGGGAAGTGAGCCGTTGCCACATCTCATCCGAGCATGAAGCGCAGTCTGTGTGTGACCAGCCCTAACGTTAGCCGGAGTTGGACCAATTTATTTATTTCTTTAAAACTCTTTTTACTTTGCCTTCTCCTTAAAGAGGATACATGACGGCTTAGATCATATAAAAGACAAAACAGTAAAAAACAATATGTCTTTAAAAATATCAAGACCAATGGCGCCACTAAATCAACACCAAAACCAGATTCAACAGTGTCTCAGGCGACAGCTTCCAGACGTTCTTCCTGAGCCTCTTCGTTCTTGGAGGACAGACACCGTTGTGTATGTTCTGGGAAGCCTGATCTGATCCCTTAGTTGCACCCAAGGACCTGATCCTGCTGCCAATCGTGAAGTTCTCAGCCCACTCAGCTTCTGCACACAGAGTGAGGGGCGGCCATCATTGGCTTCGGGTACCGCTGGGTCCCATGGTACCCTGGCAAGGTGGGCTGTCTGTTTAGGACTCCTGATCCCGCATATAAGGGGGTCCTTTTGCACACCTATCAGTGTTGTCATAACAGTATTCACTGGCATCCTGGTTTTTAAAGAAGATAGAGCTTTGTGGAGGTTCATCTGTCAGGCACTAATAGTTACAGTGGCCCTATGAAACCCCCCCCCCCCCCCATCTGTCTGGGAGGCTTCTT